CTGGATTAATGGATTAATGTGTTATTACTGGTGTGGAACTGGTGACTTTATACAAAGAGGAAGAGACACACTCCAACTAACACATTAGATTGCTCAGACCCCTCGCCATGTGATGCCCTGAGCTGCCTTGGGACTCTGCAGAGAGTGTCTGTCAGCGAGAAGGCCCTCAGCTGGGTGTGGTGGCTCACGCCTGTAATCCCTACACTTTGGGAGGCCGAGGCGAGAGGATTGCCTGAGCTCAGGATTTGGAGACCAGCCTGAGCAACATGGCGAGACTTCATCTCTACAGTAAATCAAACAAATCAGCCAGGCATGGTAGCACATGCCTGTGGTTCCAGCTACTTGGAAGGCTGTGCCCAAGCCCAGCAGGTCAAGGCTGCGGTGGCTGTGAGCGTGCCACTGCACTCCAGCCTGAGTGGCAGAGTAAGACTCTGACTCAAAAAAAAAAAAAAAAAAGGCCCTCACCAGATGCAGCCCCTTGACCTTGGACTTCCCAGCCTCCATAATTGTAATAATAAATTCCTTTTTATTATAAATGACCCAGTTACAGGTATTCTGTTATAAGCAACCAAAAATGGACTAAGACTGGGGGCCAATACATTCAGGTGTAGGGAAAATTCAGCACTCAACCTGCTACCCTAACTTTTTACATAAACTGGGATTAGATAATATAGCAGAGTGGCCATGTTCTTCTTTTTGAACCTTCCAGACAGAGGGGATTATGACACAGCATGGAAAAGGCTGAGAAGCCAACCAGAAAGTGGGGAGACAGCATCTACAGAAGCCACCTCCATCCCTGGGCTGGCACTAGCAGAGTGTAGGGGTCAGGGCCACCTAGGCAGAAGCTGGAACCAGAGCAGGCCTGTCCTGTGGGAGCTGGAGGGTGGAGGAGACTTAGAGAGGCAGCCACTCCTGGAGACCCTGCCCTGATGGGAGGGATGCCCTGGCTGCTCCCCTGCCCTCTGATCCCCCTCTAATTCCTCCTCCCATGGACCAGAGCCAGACTGAAGGAGGGTCCTGGAAATGCAGCCTGGAGGGCTCAGGATGGGTAGGAAATGGACTTGAGACACACAAGCCCAGACTGGCACAGAACCCAGTAACCCCTGGGGGTGTGGAATAAATAGCTCAGTTCCTGGCTCTGTCCCTTTCCTTGCGACCCACCAGGACTGAGCCACAGCATGGGGTCGTCAGGGGACTCACAGGAGTGACATGAACCAGCCTTTGCCAGACAAGAAATGGAAAGATGGGGACCTGGCCAAGTCATGCGGCTGACCTTAACGATACCACTGGTCTCCACTACCCCTGCTGGGCATGGCCACTGCCACCATAGCAGAGTCTAAGGGGTCCCAGTACCAAAGTGGCCTGGGCAGGGTTGGAGAGCACGCCTCCCTTCCCTGGTGGTACATCCCGTGAGAGGCGCCCATAGTAGGGCTGTCCAAAGTCACACTTTTTCAGCGAAACAGCTCCTTCCATGCAGCTCTGTACTCTCCACAGGACCCACAGATAGATAGGCTCACACAGAGGTAGCACTCCCCATGCAAAATCCCTCAGCCTCAGCTGACTGGGCTTCACGGCTGTCAGGTTCTTTCCCACAGTCCTTAGACCCTTCTTGACTAGACTCTGTCAGGCCCTCACCCAGCTGTCAGCTCCACGCAGCGGTGTCCAAATCCCAGGCCAGTTCAGCTGGAATCCAGCTTCACTTTGAGCCAGTGTAGCCAACGTGACCCAAACCACAGCATACTTCCTTGTTTCATTACCAGAATATTCTCGAATATCCTCTCTCTCTCTCTCTCTCTCTCTCTCTCTCTGTCTCTCTCTGTCTCTGTCTTTCTCACCTCATTGCATAATTGGCCTCATCTGCTTACACCTTCAGTTTTCTGGTGGCTGTTTTCAAATCCTAGTGATCCCTGTGTTGAGAGAACAAAGTGTAGTATCGTTAAGCTTCTTTTGTATATTCTTCCTTACAAAGTGGATTTGTAGAAAATGCTTGGAGCATAGTTTGGTTGGGAGGAGACATTTGCTTTCTTGGTTTTTCTACAGAGGTCCTCTGTTTACATGCGTTCACAGATCAAGGGTATGGAACACATTTTCTTTGCTTCATCTGGTCATTCAATAAAGATATATTTGTGTCCAGGCCCACTGACCCATTGCAACTATGTATTAGTTATGTGGACCAATTGCAAGGCTAACTCCAAGCCAATTTAATCCACGAGGCCTGTGGTCTGAGCTAGTGTCAGAAATTATCCACTGCCTAGGACATGTACAGGAAACAGATTTAGGAAGTTCATCTATCTCCTGCCAGACCACATGCTGTCTCGTGAGAAGAGAATGTGGTATACAGAGGAGCCTGCCCACCCCCTCTGACTGGATACCTGGGGTCTTTCTGCTGTGTGCACTGTACAGATATTTGGGCCAAGGAAAGGGGCTGGCCTATGATTTTTTTTTCAATTAAAAAAAAATCTTTTCATTGTATAAGTAATGCATGAACACAGTGTCGTTTTTAAAAATTTAAAAACTAGGATAGTATAAAACTGTATAAGGAGGCCAGGCACAGTGACTCATGCCTGTAATCCAGCACTTTGGGAAGTTGAGGTGGGAGGATTGTTTGAGCTGAGGAGACTGAGATCAACCTGGGCAACATAGTGAAACCTCTACCAAAAAATCAAAAATTTAACTGGGTGTGGTGACATGCACCTTTAGTCCCAGCTACTTAGGAGGTTGTGGTGGAAGGGATAGCCTGGGCCTAGGAGTTGGAGACTACAGTGAGCCATGATCGTGCTACTGCACTCCAGCCTGGGTGACAGAGTGAGACTCCCCACTCAAGAAAACACCCTTGGCCTCCTGGGTTCAGGCAATCCTTCCATCTCAGTGCTCCCAAAGTACTAGAATCATGGGTGTGAGTCACCACACCTGGCCTTTTTTTGGGGGGGGGAGTCAAGGTCTCAATTTATCTCCCAGGATGGGGTGCAGTGGCACAATCACTGCTTACCGCAGCCTTGAGCTCCTGGGCTTAAGCGATCCTCCCATCTCAACCTCTTGAACAGCTGGAACTACAGGTATCAGGTCCGCTAATATATATATATATATATTTTTTTTTTTTGGTAGAGATGAGGTCTCGCTATATTGCTTATGCTGGTCTCAAGCTCCTGGGCTCAAGCAGTTCTCCTGCCTCAGCCTCCCAAAGTGCTGGGATTTCAGGCATGGTACCCACCATGCTTGGCCAATATATTTCTTAAACTGATAGTGTACATGTTCCTCTATCCTCTAAATTGTGTCCTTTATTTAGATCTAGAGGCATGATCAGATTCAGACTTGCATTTTTTGGCAATCTTAGTTCATAGTAGGGTTCCATCTGAATTTATTTTTGTACATGATATAAGGGAAGAACTTAATCTGGGTTTTTTCAAATACATGGTTAATTGCATGTTGTGCCAGTGTTATTTACTGAATAAATAATTTTTTCCTCCCAATAATTTGAAATGCCACTGTTATATTACAACACACACACACACACACACACACACACACACACACACACACACACACACACACACGTGTCTGTCTGTATGTAATTTGGGGAGTCTCAGTCTTGTCGCCCAGGCTGGAGTACTGTGGCACGCTTGCAGCCACCACAGCCTCCACCTGCTGGGCTCAGGCAATCCTCCCGCCTCAGCCTTCCAAGTAGCTGGAACTACAGATGCACACCACCACACCTGGCGGGTCTTGCCATTTTGCCCAGGCTGGTCTCAAACCCCTGGGTTCAGGTAATCCTCTCAGCTTCGCCTCCCAAAGTGCTGGGATTACAGACCTGAGCCATCACACCCAGTTTGAGTTCTTTCTTAAACTTTTAGTGTGGGCAACATAGCCAGATCCTGTCTCTACATAAAATTTTTAAAAATTTAAAAATATTTACTGGACATAGTGGTGCATGCCTTTAGTCCCAGCTACTTAGGAAGCTAAGGGAAGAGGATCGCTTGAGCTCAGGAGTTCAAGGCTGCTGTGAGCTATGGTCACATGACTGTATTCTAGGCTGGGCAACAAAGCAAAAGGCTGTCTCTAAAAATAAAAATTAACGCTTTGTTGTGTGCTCTTGATTTTTTTTCTGTACTTAGACCATATGGTTTTAGACTCTATAGATTTGCCATTTGTTTTATTATCAAATAAGGTAGTTTTTTCTTTTCTTTTCTTTTCTTTTTGTTTTTTGAGTTGGAGTCTCACTCTCTCGCCCAGACTGGAGTGCAGTGGCCGCTCCTGGCCACCGCAGCCTCCACCTGCTGGGCTCCGGCAATCCTGCCACCTCAGCCTTCCGAGTAGCCAGAATTACAGGTGCGCGCTACCACGCCCGGCTGATTTTTTTATTTATTGTAGAGATGTAAAGATGAGGTCTCGCCAAGTTGCCCAGGTGGGTCTCGAACCCGCGGGCTCAGGCAATCCACTCACCTCGGCCTCCCAAAGAGCTGGGATTACAGGCTGAGCCATCGAGCCCGGCCAGTTTTTTCTTTATTGATCTTTTTAAAGCAGTTCTAGCTTTTCTTGTGCTTATTCTTCCCCATAATAATTTAGTAATTTTTAATCTTCATGGTAAGATCTGTATTGGGATTTTGTCATATTTATAGGTTAAGTTAGAGACAAATAGCATCTTTATAGTAATGAATTTTCCCAGTCAGGGATGTGTTTTTTTTCTTCCATGGAGTCAGGGTTTGTTTTTAACATCTTTGAATACAATTTTATACTTTTCTTTATATAGGTCGTTATAGTTTTTGTTAAGTTTATTTTCAGATATTTTTCTACCCTTCCACCCCCTCATTTTAAAAAGAATCTGTATTTCTCCATGCATTTTCCAATTGTTAATGGCTAGTACTTAGGAGAGCCTTGGTTTTTATAAGCTGATCTTGCCAATTTGCTTTTTAGATGTTATAACTTTTTTTTGTTTTGACTGTTCTGAATTTCCTGGTTAGCAAACATATCATCTACAACTGGATTTTTTTTTTTTTTTTTAGGCTCATGCAGAGTCAAGTAAAACCTGGCTGACGGACAAGTTCACTGAACTCAGATTACTGCTTGATGAAGAGGAAGTGCTGGCCAAGAAATTCATCGACAAAAATACCCAGTTTGCCCTCCAGGCATATAGGGAGCAAGTTGAGGCTTGCAGGGAGCAGACTGACATCCTGAACGCTCTCTCCAACAGGGTCTGGAATATAGGCCAGGAGCAGGATCCTGTCCAGCAGCTGCAGGTAGTGCTGGGGTGACAGCTCTGACAGCTGTCACCTGCCACCCACATTTCGTCTCGGGTACTGTGGCATTGAGCACAATATTGACACTCTAAGCAGATACATTGTTAGGAAGGTAGTCTGCATCTGGGATCAGAACCCAGGTCTGTCCGACTCTAAACCCACGAGGCACATTGCCTGGTCCTTTGCCTTAAACTGAGACACCCTTCCTGAAAAGGCAGGTGTCCTTTCAGCTACTGAACACATTTCAGAAGCTGAGTCATAGTTATCTCAAGGGGGAGAAAAGAATGCTACTCCTTGGCTCCTGGGCTTTGTTGAAGAAGAGTCTAAGAAGTAGCCCCTGCGATACTCATTGCTACATTTAGTGAAAGCAGGTTGAGGAGGATGGTGTTTCTGTCTTCAAGTAACCATGGAAGAAACTCCTGTCTGGTATTATTGCCCCTCTGTGTCACCTGTGCACTGAGATTGCTTTTTTTTACTACTATAACTCTTCCTGTTGCCTTCTTTCCTTTGGCTTCTGGGAAGCTCAGAGCCAAATCTGTTTCAACGAGCTAGTCTTTTTTTTTTTTTTTTTTTGAGTTGGAGTCTCACTCTGTCACCCAAAGTAGAGTGTAGTGGCTGCTCCCGGCCACCGCAGCCTCAACCTGCTGGGCTCCGGCAATCCTTCCACCTCAGCTTTCCGAGTAGCCGGAATTACAGGCATGCGCTACCACGCCCGGCTGATTTTTTGATTTATT